CAGCCATGCAGACCAATTTGATGCAGTGTGTGGAGTATGGTCTGATCACTGACAGGCTGACCCCCCCACCCATTCAACCTCTGCAGCAATGCTGGCAGCACTCATACGTCTATTTCCCAAAGACAACCTCTGGATATGACGCTGAGCACGTTCACTCAACTTCTTTGGTCGACCATGGCGATGCCTGTTCTGAGTGGAGCCTGTCCTGTTAAACCGCTGTATGGTCTTGACCACCGTGCTGCTGCTCAGTTTCAGGGTCTTGGCAATCTTCTTATAGCCTAGGCCATATTTATGTAGAGCAACAATTCTTTTTTTCAGATCCTCAGAGTTCTTTGCCATGAGGTGCCATGTTGAACTTTCAGTGACCAGTATGAGAGAGTGAGAGCGATAACACCAAATTTAACACACCTGCTCCCCATTCACACCTAGCACTAACGAGTCACATGACTCCTGTAAGGGAAAATGGCTAATTTGGCCCAACTTGGACATTGTCACTTAGGGGTGTACTCACTTTTGTTTCCAGCAGTTTAGACATTAATGGCTGTGTGTTGAGTTATTTTGAGGGGACAGCAAATTTATATGTTATACAAGCTGTACACTCACTACGTCACATTGTAGCAAAGTGTCATTTCTTCAGTGTTGTCACATGAAAAGATATAATAACATATTTACAAAAATGTGAGGGGTGGACTCACTTCTGGGAGATACTGTATGCTCATTACATTATATACATACCTCAAATCTTTCATCAATGGATCAACAACCTACTAGTTGTCACCTGGTCAATCTGCAGCCCCATGCCCTCCCGGGGTTTCCAAGCTCAGTATGCTTCTTCTACATCACTTCCCTGTTCACTCCACTGAAGCCACCTCTTCATGGATCACGCAAGGTTGTTAGGCTTGGCACCCACTTGTGCTGTTTAGATCTAAAGGGAGAAGGGTAGGAGACCCCTAACCACCAAGAGTAAGTCTGGACCATTTTTGGAAAGGGGTAGCCATGCTAAGATAGCCCTGACAAAGGGCAGGCTAAAAAGTGGTGGGGAAGGGCAAGTGCTCAAGTTCCTTCAGCCCACACACTTACAGGTGCCTGGTCCTAGTATTCACAGCTGAGACACTGTTGGAAGGGACTGGAGATAATAATGTCCTGTATCTGCACCTTGTTTTCCACAACATAGACAAAATATCTTTGCAATGCTAGACATCTGAGGGTGTATCTGCACAATACTTGGAGAACTAGTACTTCCACCACACTGCCTAGCTCTTTATCTGCTGTACTTCAATCTACAGATCAGAGTCATTGTAATTAAAATTGGTGGACCTAAATTAAGTGACAGATTGCGTGACTGAGGCCAACCCGAGACTGGATCTTCCTGTTCTTGACATTTGATGGATATGCTTCTGAAGAGAGTGTGGATAGGTCTTCAGAACAGAGGTGCTGATTAGGGTTAAAGTGATACTAAACACACGCTGTTTCATTTACCTTCTCCCTTCTCTTTCTGTATGTGGATGATGGCGCTGTCATTATTTTAATAAAAAAACCCATCTAAGGAACTTTGTTGTGATTGATTTACAGCCGTCACATGACCCAGCTCTTTCCCAGCCTGTCTGTAGGGAAACATAAGCAGCAGGAGCCTCTATTCCTCTGCTGCTGGTCACATGTTCATAATAAAAAAAAAAATACTTTGGGATACAGTATAAACATATATAATATCAATAAATATATATTTGAAATCAAATCTTTTTTTTTTTTTATTTGCAATAAATGGTGTGGGCGGATTGCGTCATGCCCCTCCAGCCTGTGTCTTAGAATAACGGGGGTGAAGCCTCCATCAATCTACATGTAATATTCCACCCCCCCCCCCCCCCCCCCCCATGTGTTTAGATGGTTAGCGGGATATTGAGAAGGAGGTAGGGAGTGGGCTGTCATTTACCACTATGTATACACCAACATGTGTGACTCTATAGCAGTGTTTCTCAATTCCAGTCCTCATGGACCCCCAACAGGTCATGTTTTCAGGATTTCCATTATTTTGCACAGGTGATTTGATCAGTTTCACTGCCTTAGTAATTACCACAGCTGTTTCATCTGAGGGAAATCCTGAAAACATGACCTGTTGGGGGTCCATGAGGACTGGAGTTGAGAAACACTGCTCTATAGTCACATGGGCTGCTCAAATGTGATGGGGAGGAAATGCTCAGCATAGAAACTCACTGAAAACTGAGCATGTGCAGAGCTGCCAACACTGCTCTCCAAAATCACCAACTGCATTGGGGACATGGACAGAAGAGGGAGATTGAGAACAGCAGAATCAACCAGTTTTTTTTTTTTTTACAGAATACAGAAAACGAATCCCATAGTGACTGAGTATGAACAGCATGTAATACAGCTTTTATTGATATTTTTTATTGTTATGTGGGTTTAATTACGCTTTAAAATGATTTTTTTATATATATATATATATATATATATATGTGTATGTGTATATTTCCATCTCTGGTGACCATAAACACTGTAATTAATTCTTGTGGAACAGCATCTTTACATCTCTGATTTTAGTGATATTTTCGGTGTGGTTGGAGTCTAAGTTTGCATATCTCCCACTGTCTTCTTATTCATCCTGAGGCTGACCCATCATGATCTTCACACAGTAGACAATCTTTGCTCTTTTGCCAACCACATTATATTTTGGGTTTTCTGAATCACCTTTGAGTGTTCCACTCATCCTCTTGCAGTCTTCCTAATTAAAAAAAAAAAAATTACCACCATAGTACCAGAAAACCAACAGGAAACTTTTAGGCGTTGTGCCCACCATCTGTCAAAAAACAAAAAGGACAGACTAATCCTTTAAAGAAAATCTATCATTTTGATCAAAATGGTGGGATAGTTTCTCTTGCACCTCCCTTCAAACCAGTATTTTCCTTGTTCTGTGCTCTACCACAACTCTGTTGGAACCCTCAGAAGTACCTAATGCTTATAAGTATGGGGAACACGTGACCTTTCTTTCTTCCAGAGTTTAGAACACTTTAGGCCTGAACACTGTCAAATGGTTAGAGGAGGAAGTCATTAACTCTGTGTAAGCTCTGACACAGTCCAACTCAGAGATTACACAGGGTTTAAAAAAAAAAAAAAACAGGTCTCCAACACCGAAACAGAACAACAGGGGGGGCATGGCCTAGAGCAGTGGTCTCCAAACTGCAGCCCAGGGGCCAGATGTGGCCCTTTTCTTGCTTTTATCCGGCCCTTGGGACAGTATTCACCCCACTATCAGCAACAGGGGGGGATAATTCCTGCCATTAACAATGAGGCCCTATTCCTCCCACTGACACCAGTGATGGAGCACTATTACTTCCATTGATATCAATGATGGGGCACTATTCCTCCCATTAATACCAATGATGGAGCACTATTCCTCCCACGTACACCAATGATGGGGCAGAACTCCTTCTGTTGACACCAACAATGGGGCACTATTCCTCCCGCTGACACCAACAATGGGGCATTTTTCTTTCCACTGACACCAACAATGGGGCACTATTCCACTGACACCAATGAAGGGGCACTAATCTTCCTACTGGCATCAATGATGGGGCACTAATCCTCCCACTGGCATCAATGATGGGGCATTATTCCTCCCACTGACACCAACGATGGGGCATTATTCCTCCCACTGACACCAACGATGGGGCACTATTCCACCAACACCAACGATGGGGCACTATTCCACCGACACCAACGATGGGCACTATTCCACGACACCAACGATGGGTGCACTATTCCACCGACACCAACGATGGGGCACTATTCCACCGACACCAACGATGGGGCACTATTCCACCGACACCAACGATGGGGCACTATTCCACCGACACCAACGATGGGGCACTATTCCACCGACACCAACGATGGGGCACTATTCCACCGACACCAACGACACTATTCCACCGACACCAACGATGGGGCACTATTCCACCGACACCAACGATGGGGCACTATTCCACCGACACCAACGATGGGGCACTATTTCACCGACACCAACGATGGGGCACTATTCCACCGACACCAACGATGGGGCACTATTCCACCGACACCAACGATGGGGCACTATTCCACCGACACCAACGATGGGGCACTATTCCACCGACACCAACGATGGGGCACTATTCCTCCCACTGACACCAACGATGGGGCACTATTCCACCGACACCAACAATGGGGCATTATTCCTCCCCCTGACACCAACAATGGGGCACTATTCCTCCCATTGACACCAGCAATGGGCCATTATTACTCCCACTGACACCAACAGTGGGGCACTATTACTCCCCCTAATACCAGTGAGGGGGCATTGTTTACCCCCACTGTCGCCAGGATGTTTTCTTCTCCCACTGGCCACAGTTCACACCCCCCTCTTCCCCTAAACTGGCTTCTAGTTTCTAAAGTTTGGAGACCCCTGACCTAGTGAGTATCAGTGTATGGTGTGCAGAAGAGAGCTTCAAGAGAACATGTAATTTTGCCATAAAAGGTCAAAGCGACAGAATCCCTTAAGAAAGTAAGAAAAGCAAACAAACACAATGGGGTTGATTTGCTAATGGCAAATAGACTGTGCACTTTGCATGTGCAGTTGCTGTAAGTTTCCTTAGTAAATGTAAAGTGGTAAAGGTTCACTTTGTTAAGGATACCCAATCAGCTGCAAGGAAAATGAAAAAAAAAACTGCATTTTTGCTTCCACATGATTGGAAGATAGAAATCAGCAGACATTTACTAAAATGTGGACAAAATGAGTGTAACTGCACTTGCGAGGTGAACAGTCTATTTGCCTTTATTAAATCCACTCCGATGGTTAATTCTCGTTTGTTCAAGTCTTTATTACTTACTTGGTGTAATTGCTCTCTTTTATAAGTTTTGCGTTTCATTCATGTTTAATATAAAACACAGTCTATACATTTGTATTAATAAAATGTTTCTGATTCTAGGTAACCTGCAAAGAACTGACTTGTAAGATGCGTACTGTGGCCTTTTTCCTCATTTTGGTGCAAGGGTTATCACTGTCTGCTGGTGAGGCATCTAGTGATAGTTCGTCCCCCAAGCTAATCCTGGTATCGTTTGATGGGTTCAGGGCAGACTATTTAATAAACTACTCATTGCCTAATCTCCAGGAGTTCATCGACGATGGCGTACTGGTGAGGGAAGTGACAAATATCTTCATCACAAAAACTTTCCCTAATCATTATACACTGGTGACCGGTTTATATGCTGAAAGCCATGGCATTGTAGCCAACTCCATGTATGATTCCAGCACAAAGCAGATCTTTAATTTGTCCGACTTTTCTTCGAAGACTGACCCATTTTGGTGGAACGAAGCAACCCCCATCTGGGTAACCAACCATCGCATGGGACGTAAAAGCGGCTCAGCAATGTGGCCTGGCAGCGATGTGAAGATTCAGAATACAACCCTCGATGACTTTTTGCCGTACAACAGCAGCGTCGCCTTTGCCGAGCGAGTCAATAACATCATGGCTTGGTTTACAAGACCTAATGATCCAATCAACTTTGCCACACTATATTTTGAGGAACCTGATGCTAGTGGACACCATTTTGGACCTGAGGATAAGGAACAAATGGCAAAAGTGTTGACCAAGGTAGATGAAAATATTAAATATTTGGTGACGAAGCTAAAGGAAGCAAAGCTTTGGGATACAGTGAATGTGATTATCACTAGTGACCATGGAATGGCCCAATGCTCAAAGGACAGGGTTATTGTACTGGATAACTGCATTGGTCGTGGGAACTATACATTAGTGGATTTCACCCCAGTTGCTGCAGTTTTCCCACTTCAAGGTAAGTGTTAATGTATGTTGCAATGTTATAATATGGAAGGGTAACCTGAGTGGTGGAACCTTCATACCATGATGGCTCCAAAAGGCTCATAATGCTCTACTGATTGGATGCTACCATAGTTTTAATTCATGGTTCACTAAATCAGTTCATACATGGTGAAGGTGAGTACACCATATAAAAGTGATTTCCAATTTCATATGTAGATGGTGATGAAGTCCATTCTGGCCTTTACGCTCTCCTGAGATCTGTTATTTGGGGGTGTTTTTAGAGACTGGAAACTGACATCAATCAGTTACAGACATCTAGGGGTTTATTTACTAAAGCTGGTTCCCTCAGAATCTCATGCACTTCTGTATAGAAACCAATCAGCTTCCAGGTTTTATCACTAAAGCTTCATTGAACAAGCTGAGGTTAGAAGCTGGTTGGCTACCATGGACAGGTGCCCCAGATTCTGGTGAACCAGCTTTAGTAAATCTACCCCCTAATGTCTATTGAGAAATTCACCGGGTTCTCCAAGAAAGAGCTGGCCTTCTTTTAAGTATTTTAAATGATTTACAATGTTCAGCTTTTAACTTTCATTAGAGAGTTGGGGGTTTTAAGATGTCTCGGCACATATGTGAAATCATTCATTATCAAAGAATCAGGTTGTTAGAGAATATATCGCCAGCTCAGCTGATTTCAAATTGACAGCCCAAGTTCACACAGTTCTCATATTCAGTTTAATGAGATGAGAACAACCATTCTTTGTAAGTAGAGAGAGTTCAACTCTATTCTGAAGGATCTTTTTAGGCTGGCCACATGAGGAGTTAGGTGTTTCCAGCATGTGTCATTACTATTCAGAGCACGTCTGGTCATCTCCATGTTTATCTCTGAAGTTGATGGCTTTTCTCTCTTATTAGAGACCCACAGAGATGATCCAACTTGACAAATCACTCCTGACAGCAGCAGCCACCCCCTAGTGTCATCTTTGCTACCCCATTTTTTGTAAGAATATCACAAAAACTACTCTAGGCGAGCCTCAGTAAAGTGCTGCAATAGGTACAAAAGCTAAATTCCACATATGTCAGATTCATTCTTCCAGCTCAGTTTAAAAAGTATATCAAATCTCACTGGTTTCTATACTAGCAGTCAAAAGTTTTTACAATCCTGCCAATTTCCAGTTTTCATTGAAATCAGTTGAAGCAGTTCAAGTGCAGTAAATAACCTGAAGTGGCACAAGCATAAATGTAAACTCCTGAATTTAAAAGAGAAGTTCTAAGACCGAGAACTGAGCGATCAAAGACCTTTGATCGCTCAGTTCTCAGTCATCACTGCTCTCTGCTCTGCTCATCCAGCGTTCACTGGATTTGGAGGCTGTGAAGGGGTGGGAGCGGCTGGCTCAGGCTCAGCGGCGCGCTGAGAGGCTGAGTAAGCTGCCAGTCCAGGCATCTGGGTGGATCCTGACATTAAAGTCTGGACCAGCACTGTGATGTCAGCAGATAGAGAACTTTAACCTGCTGTCAGTTGTAAACGGGTCACAGGAGTGCAGAATGGTGTGTACTTCTGTGACCCCCAGGAGAAGTACAGCCAAAATAGCTTTGGCCCTACTTCTCCTTTAAAGCAATAAGTAAACCCCAAATCTTTTTTTTATGTGTATATCATTAAACAAATGTTTAATGCCAAACAAAAATGCTAACAAAACTGAATTCTAATTTTTTTTAATTTGTTTGGTCTGCTGTTCTGTATTTGGATCCAAATGGAAGATCCAACAAAATTTTGCAATACCCTCTGGTCTTTGTCTAGTTGGTCAAGGGTTGGTCCTACAGAAAAATAATGGCCCAAAACCATGTCCTAGCTATGCCAGAACTACTTCAGAACAAAAGAACAAGATGGTCTGCATCAAATCATGGAATGGCTAGCACAGTTTCAAGACTTAAAGCGGAGTTCCAGTCTCCTCGGCACTTTTCTACAAAAAGCACCTGCATTTTTCTCTTCAGTTTCAATATATAATTAGGACAGTGTTCTAAGTGTATGTCGTTTGCTTACTTGTGAATGTGACATTTCTCAGTAGGATCCCAGCAGGCAGGCAGCGGCCATTACTAGTGTGGGCATCTGAAGCAAGCTCCTACTTTCTTCTGGAGCTGGCTACCCAACATGCACCTCCTGATCTCGCGCTTGCGTTGTAAGGACACGGCCCGGCACACTGTGTTTGTAGGTTTGCCATAACAATGGCGGCGGAAGATCCTGCCCCATTGTTTTGGCAAGCTGTCAGTCATTCCTCCCGATAAACGTCATTTCCGGTCTAGAAATACCGCGAGAGTTCACCATTAGGCTTCCCAAAGACACCTGGGAAAACCAAAACCAATATCCCAAGAGTCCTAGGGAATCGCCTAGGTGGCCGGACCGGAAGTGCAGGACACTGACAGCAAAAAAGGTATTTAGAAACTAATAAATAAAAAAAAATATCCCATAACAGACTGTTCTGTGGGTGGGCATTGTGTGGCAGGATCATGAAAAAAAGGGTGGAACTCCGCTTTAAAGTGGTCCTAAAGGCTTAAAATGGTAGTGAAGTCGGCTGAAAAAAATTAAAAAAAAGGTACCCCTGCTGGTTAAAGTCATAATGTACTAGTATGCTCCACATACTAGTACATTATGACAGACTTACCTGCAAATGGAGCCCTCCCTCAGGTCCCGGGTTCCATCTTCACCCGGTCTTCCTTCTGGGCTTCATTTCTTCAGCCGCTTGAATAGCCAGACAGCGGTGCTATAACTTCCGGGCATGTGCATGGCAGTCACGGAATGTAGAGTAGGCCGTAAATGTAGTTTGAGCTGCACATGCGTGTGCTCAGATCACTTTGCAACTGACAGCTAGGGGGATATTTACGACAGAAGAAGCCCTAGGGTCTCCTCTGTAATAGAAACCCTGCCTGTCAGCAATATTTAACTTTAGACTGTACTACCACTTTAAGGGATTTTTCCCCTTAATGTAGAACTATAGGCAAAACTTGTAAGGGAGGGTTATAACCCCTGCCAGATTTTTTTTCACTATCTGTGTCACGTTGGGGAGATTTCCCTTCACTTCCTGTCCTATAACCAAATAGGAAGTTAGAGGAAATCCCTGGAAATTAAGGGAATTCTTTGGAGACCCCAGGTCACCAGAACTACTGTCCCTAGATTTCCCCTCTACTACATTTCTGGGGACAATTAAATTTTTTTTTTTTTTTTTTTACTTTCACTTTCAATGATAATGGTAAACAGGACAAACAGAGAGGGTGAATCCCCTTAACAGGGGCACACAGCAATAAAAAACTGACAAGCATTCGAATCCTCCTACACTCGATCCAAAACTAAAAAAAAAGAGGGTCGCCTTTAGTTATAGTTTAATGCATTCTCCGCATTAAAGTGGTTTTAAAAGCCAAAGGGTTTTTTTTTACGTTTATGCATTCTGTGCATGAAGGTAAAAAACCTTCGCTGTGCATCTCCTCCTCACAGCCCTCTGTAAGGTTCCATTCACACTTGTGCAACTTCAAAATTGCAATTTTCATTGCGACTTTACAGGACTTTGGATGAGTGCGACTTTGGCTTTGACTAATGATGGTTGTTTGTGCTATACAAAGTCGCACACAAGTCGCCTGTATATCATTCAGGTGTGACTTTCATGCGCCTTTGGAGGGGTTACATTGAAGTCTATGGCCCTTAAATTGCATGAAAGTCGAACAAAAGTCGTTCTGGAACCATTGTAGAAAGAATGCCACAAATGTCTTTGGCTGTTGTAAAAGTTTAGATGAACATTTTTTAACCATTTGCCCTCCAGAGGATTCAAAGGGTTAACTGTGCTGTTTTTACTATGTGGGCTGTGTGTGCTTTACACTGTAAGCACACTGCTTTGTATGGCTCTGCTATGCTATGCATAGCCATACAAAACAGTGTGCAGGAGCTGACAGGGGAGGGATCTGTATTGTTTACATACAGGTCTCTCCCCCGTCGGAAATCCTCGGAGAACACCGGGTGTCGGCGGCGAATCACCAATTGGGAATCAGTGATTAACAGCGGAGGCCGCTAATGGCGCACGCACGTGCCCCTACCTGGGACTTCAAAATCACATATGTATAAATGATTTTGTGCAGCCATGCCGCCTTGTAGCAGTATTTTTCTGCTATAGGGCAGCGCAGAAGTGGTTAAACAAAATGATTCCAAATTATATATATATTTTTTTTATCTCCGTTTTTGTTCTACTTTCTCATTGGGAAAACCTGGGGTACGACTTGTCATGCAACTTTGGACCCCAAAGTTGCATGACAAGTTGCACAAGTGTGAATGGACTTTAATACTTACCTGAGCCCGATCTCGATCCAGCAGTGTGCACAAGGTTAGTGGCTCTCCCAGTCTCTCGTTCCTCATTGGTTGAGACACAGCTGTTTGATGTGCATTATAGAAATAATGCCACAAATGTGTTTGGCTGTTGTATCTCCTGAAGGCGTATCTATTAATAAGCCAAAATTTTAGATGAACGTTTATTATCCCCTTGACGCCGACGACACACAAATATGCGGCCTCACGGAACTCACTGGGCTTTTTTCCGTGGGGTCGCATATTTGCGTACCTGTCTTTGTGCTGGGAACACGCCACTCGGAGCGCTCCCAGCACAGAGACCACGGTGTCTCTGAGAGCCCCTGGTCCCATTCTAACGATCCTGATTCTGGGTCACGTGAAATCGCTGTGATAGCCTCTGATTGGCTATCACAGTGATCAGTCACTGTGCAGCCCCGCCCCCTTGTTTTTTCTCTCTACATGAATGGAGAAGAGAGATACATTGTATCCCTCTAACTCCTGACATAGAAAGATTAAAAAAAAAGTTTGTAAAAAAAATATTAGAAAATTAACCACTTGCCTACCAGGCACTTATACCCCCTTATTTACCAGGCCAATTTTCAGCTTTCAGCGCTGCCGCACTTTGATTGACAATTGCGCGGTCATGCAACATTGTACCCATATGAAATTTTGTTCATTTTTTTCTCACAAATAGAGCTTTCTTTTGGTGGTATTTAACCGCCACTGGGCACTTTACTTTTTGCGCTATAAATAAAAAAAGTGCAAAAAATTTGAAAAAAAAAAAAGTTTCTTTGTTTCTATTATAAAATTTTTCAAACAGGGTAATTTTTCTCCTTCACTGATGTGCGTTGATGAGGCAGCACTGATGGGCACTGATAGGCGGCACTGATGGGCACTGATAGGCAGCACTAAAGGGCACTGATAGGCAGTACTAATGAGGTGTCACGGATAGGCGGCACTAATATGCAGCACTGATAGGCGGCACTGATAGGTGACACTGATGATGGGTACTGATAGACGGCACTGACTGGCATCACTGCTGGGCACTGACTGGCGGCACTGACTGGCACACCGCTGGACACTGACTGGTGGCACTGACTGGCAGCACTGCTGGGCTGCACTGGTGGGTGGCACTGGTGGGCAGCACTGATGGGTGGGCACAGGTGGGTGGCACTGGTGGGCACAGGTGGGTGGCACTGGTGGGCACAACATGTGGGTGGGCACAGGTGGGTGACACTGCTGGGCACAGATAGGTGGCACTTCTTGGGCACAGGTGTGTGACACTGCAGAGTGGCACAGGTGGGTGCACTGCTGGGCACAGGTGGGTGCACTGCTGGGCACAGGTGGGTGATCTGCAGGGCACAGGTGGGCGGAGCTAGTGGGCGCACTGCTGGGCACAGGTGGGCGGAACTTGCGGGTGCCACTGCTGGGCACCGATCATCAGGGCACTGATCATCAGTGCCCTGATGATCGGTGCCGATCCGATCCTCGCTCTGACAACTGCCGGTTCTCGGCAGTACTTTCCTCACGATCTGACAGCGTGAGGAAAGTGCAGCCGAGAACCGGCACTTGCATTTCCCTCTGATCAGCGTGTCATTGGACACCGCTGATCACGTGGTAAAAGGCTGCTGTGATTGGCCTTTTACCACATCAGGTGATCAGCTGTGTCCGTAGGACACAGCGATCACGGAGATCGCTGGGTGCGCGCCCCCTGGGGCGCGCAGGAGAGCGCGTTTCTGGGAGGACGTCATACGACGTCCACTCAGAACTGGCCGGCCACAGTGCAGCCGTCATTCGGCTATCTGCGGTCGGCAACAAGTTAAAGAAAAATAAAGAAAAAAATACCCAAATCAAGGTTTGATCTAGTTCAGTGCCAGGGTTAGTGTTTGGGTCAGGGTCAAAGGTCAGTATTAAAAAAAAAATTGGTATCAGTGTCAGTTAGCGTTAACGTCAGTGTCAACGTCAGTAAAAAAAAAAAAAAAGACAAACAAAATGCGCACTATTGTTTTTGGGCTGTACTACGGGTACAAACAACAAATAACATAAACATATATGATCTCTCTGCGATCGTCAAGAGCTGTGGAGAATTTATTTTGGGTTGTTCCATGGAGGTAGGTTATGGTCGTAACAAGAAACACAGAGCTAAATAAAAAAAAAAACTATTTTTTTTACTATTTTGGGCCAGTTTTCCTTTGATAAAAAAAATTAGGAGCTATCCATTACCATTTACCACCAAATGAAAGCCCATTTGTCCTGAAAAAAACAAGGTATAATCCACCTGGATGTACAAAGTAGTTGTGATGATATGTATGGTATTACTAAACATGTCAATGTTGCAGAATTGTGCTTAGACATTTAGATTTGTTTTACCCTTAGGTGTGAAGGGGTTAAACAAAATTATTCCATATACCGTATTTTCTCATTGTGTATAACCTGGGGCGACTGGGCGTATGCAAGACGACCCCCCTACTTTTCCTGCTAAAATGTAGTGTTTGGGCTATACTCGCCGTATAAGACTACCCCTCTTTCCAATGCACACCAGTGGGAGGAATAGTGCCCCATCATTGGTATCAGTGGGAGGAATAGTGCCCCACCATTGGTGTCAGTGGGAGGAATAGTGCCCCATCATTGGTATCAGTGGGAGGAATAGTGCCCCACCATTGGTGTCAGTGGGAGGAATAGTGCCCCATCATTGGTATCAGTGGAAGGAATAGTGCCCCATCATTGGTATCAGTGGGAGGAATAGTGCCCCATCATTGGTATCAGTGGGAGGAATAGTGCCCCATCATTGATGTCAGTGGGAGGAATAGTGCCCAATCATTGGTATTAGTGGCAGGAATAGTGCCCCATCATTGGTATTAGTGGCAGGAATAGTGCCCCATCATTGGTGTCAGTGGGAGGAATAGTGCCCTATCATTAGTATCAGTGGAGGAATAGTGCTCCATCATTGGTGTCAGTGGGAGTCATAGTGCCCCCATCCCATTGGTATCAGTGGCAGGAATAGTGCCCCATCATTGGTATCAGTGGGAGGAATAGTGCCCCATCATTGGTATCAGTGGGGGGAATAGGTGCCCCATCATTGGTATCAGTGGCAGGAATGGTGCCCCATCATTGGTATCAGTGGCAGGACATAGTGCCCCATCATTGGTGTCAGTGGGAGGAATAGTGCCCCATCATTGATGTCAGTGGGAGGAATGGTGTCCCATCATTGGTGTCAGTGAGGGGTGGAATAGTGCCCCATCATTGGTGTCAGTGGGGGGTGGAATAGTGCCCCATCGTTGGTGTCAGTGGGGGGGGGAATAGTGCCCCATCGTTGGTGTGAGTGGGGGGGGAGGAATAGTGCCCCATCGTTGGTGTCAGTGGGAGGAATAGTGCCCCATCGTTGGTATCAGTGGGAGGAATAGTGCCCCATCATTGGTATCAGTGACACCAATGATGGGGCACTATTCCTCCCACTGAGACTTGCTGACCCTGTTCTCGTATGGTGCTGCTGCAGCCAGCATATGTGGTTGCAGCAGCACCTAACTACACAGAACACTTACCTGCTGCTCCGGCACTCAATTTTCGCGGGGCCGCTCGGCTCCGCCCCCTCGCCGGTGATTGGCCGCCTGTGTGCCTTTCCTGAGCTACAGTTCTGGCGGCCAATCACCGGTGAGGAGGCGGAGCCGAGCAGGACGAACATCCAGTGGCCGAACTGAAGGAGACGCCGCGCTCCACCTTCCTGGACCGGATCGTTGTGGGACTGGATCCAGGTAAGAGACATCAGCCTCTGCAAACCCCTGTACTTAATGCCGCAGCCCCGCTAACATGTGTACCGGCATATAAGACGACCCCCGACTTTTGAGAAGATTTTCAAGGGTCAAAAAGTTGTCTTATACGCCGGCAAATACGGTATATATATTTTATCTCTATTTTGTTCTACGCTTTAATTTAGGCATTCATAAGGACCTAAAACTACATAAATTTTAATAGAAACTGGAAAATTAGTGAGTCCAAAACTTTTAACCAGTAATGTAGATGTGAGGCAGAGCACTCGGTTTTCATTGCAATGCTGGCATTGAGGATCCTTCTATGAGGACGTATCTGTTCTATTTCCACAGACATGAATTCTGTGTACAATCTGCTAAAGAACTGCAGCAGTCACATGAAAGTCTACCTCAAGGATCAGATTCCAGATCGTTATCACTACAAACACAACCGCCGGATCCAGCCCATCATCCTGGTGGCCGATGAAGGATGGACAATAGTGCAGAATGAATCGTCCCCCATAAGCTGTAAGTGACACTGATATCTGGTGTAACTGGTATGTGAAGTATGTATTCTGAGCTCAGAAAAGTCCCTTCTATTGCTGTCAAATGCTCCAAACCTCCACATTCCTTTTTTTTGCTGCTGTCATCTGACTTCCTGTTAGAGGGTGACTACATTCATTGTTCATGGGCCCACTGTATGTAGGAATGTAGTCACCCTCTTCTGCTCGCTCCCAAAATGGAACTATGGGATTGTAGAGTGCATATAACAGTACGCATGAACTAACTTGCATGAAATAATCTGAAGCGAGAGGGAAAAGGAGATTCTGGAGCTCACAGGGGACATTACAAAGCGGCAGAAAAACACAGTAATAAATTAATGAAAAATAGATTACAGAGCCGTTAAGCAGTGGAAGCGTATGGATTATTTTTGGAAAATGGGATATCGTCTCACTTTAAATTCCTTACCTGCGTATCTTTATTTTAGCTCCTCCTCTCAGAACGGTACATAATAGGAAATGTCTCAAATGGGGACACACAGTCAAAAAATATTTTTTGGTAGAATTTGAAGTATTACAACTACTGATAATGAATTTGTCTGTGCCTTCCATACCCCGGTGAGAACCGCTCCACCCTGGAACAGGAAATGAGGGAAAACCTACCCCAGGGGGTCACAGATAGAAATAAAAACTTGATACAAATGTTATATCTGCTTCTTCACTGTATTAAAAGAGAGACATATTTTGGGTGGGACAATTTATGTTTCATTATTAAACCATATTCTAATTCAAAACATGATGATATGTTTAATTCATTAAAAATCAGTTTGATCAGCTTATATATTGTAAATTAAAAAAAATAACTACAGGACTAATCTAAGAAAAAAAAGTGCCAATGCAAAAATTAAAATGCTGGTAGAATAAATAGCTGTACATATCTACATAGTCCGATTATGTACATTTTTTATGGTTATTCAGGTTTATACAATTCTTAATTTAATTTTATAAATTTTTTAAATTAAATTTGATACACATTTTTGGGAGACATTTTATTATTGTGAGGAGTTGGGGTTGCTTTGATGTTTATGTAATTCCATTTTTTTTGTGTGTATATTTTTTAAATACACAGTTGGGTTTATTCAATAAGGATGTTTGCTGTACAGGATATTTTGTGATAGGGCTGAATACATTTGTGGGGCATTGATACAGGTATTTGCTAATTGGTTCATTTAGAGCACTGGTCTCCTAAAACTGCTGCCCTTTGCTTGCCTTTATCCAGCCTATGGGGCACTATTTCTCTCACTGACAGAAACAATGGGTACCATTCCTACCACTGACACAAACAAAGGGGCACTATTTCTCTCCACTGACACCAACATGGGGGCACAATTCTTTCCACTGCCACCAACAAAGGGGCACTTATTCCTTCCACTGACACTGACAAAGGGGAACTATTCATTCCACTGACACCAACGAAGGAGCACCATTCCTTCCACACTGACACCAACAATGGGGGCAGTATTCCTCCCACTGACACCAACAATGGGGCACTATTCCTCCCACTGACACCAATGGTGGGGCATTATCTTTTCACATACATCAACATTTGGGCACTATTCCTTGCACTGACACCAACATTGGGGCACTATTCCTTGCACTGACACCAACATTGGGGCACTATTCCTTGCACTGACACCAACATAGGGGCACTATTCCTTCCACTGACACCAACAGTGGGGCACTATTCCTCCCACACTGACACCAACAGTGGGGCACTATTCCTCCCACTGACACCAACAGTGGGGCACTATTCCTCCCACTGACACCAACAGTGGGGCACTATTCCTCCCACTGACACCAACAGTGGGGCACTATTCCTCCCACTGACACCAACAGTGGGGCACTATTCCTCCCACTGACACCAACAGTGGGGCACTATTCTTCCCACTGACACCAACAGTGGGGCACTATTCCTCCCACTGACACCAACAGTGGGGCACTATTCCTTCCATTGACACCAACAGTGGGGCACTATTCCTTCCATTGACACCAACAGTGGGGCACTAGTCCTCCAACTGACACCAACAATGGGGCACTATTCCTCCAGTGACACAACAATGGGGTACTATTGCTCCCACTGAAACACCAATGAAGGGGTACTATTCCTTCCACTGAAACACCAATGAAGGGGTACTATTCCTTCCACTGAAACACCAATGAAGGGGCACTATTCCTTCCACTGAAACACCAATGAAGGGGGTACTATTCCTTCCACTGAAACCCCATCAAAGGGGCACTATTCCTTCCACTAAAATACCAATGAAGGAGAATTATTACTCCCACTGACAACAATGGGGCACTATTCCTTCTGCTGACACCATCAAAGGGGCACTATTCCTTCCACTGACACCAAAGATGGGGCATTATACCTTCTCCTACTAACCACAGGTGGCATGTTTTTTTTTCACTCCCTCTTGCCACAGTCCAGCCTCCAAAAGTTTGAAGGACAGTAAACTGGCCCTTTGTTTCTAAAGTTTGGAGACCCCTGATTTAGAGCAACAGAGACTTTGAAATGGAATTAGTTTTATCCTTTCTAGAGGGGAAATGATATATACCGTATACAGTCATTCATTGTTTGCATCTAAAATGTTGTTAAATGGAATGCCTGTGTGGCTTGGATGTATTATTCTGTTTTCTATATCTCCAACAAGGACTACATTTTTTAATATGTGTTAGCAGTAAAATTGGGTACAATATATTCATTTATTGCTTAGCAGCCTTGACTTAATACGCTATATATACACTGCTCAAAGAAATTAAAGGAAGACTTTTTAATCAAAGTATAGCATCAAGTCAATGAAACTCCTGGGCTATTGATCTGGTCAGTGAAGTAAGAGGGGGTTGTCAATCAGTTTCAGCTGCTTTGGTGTTAATGAAATTAACAACAGGTACACTAGATGGGCAAAAATGAGACTACTCCCAAAACAGGAATGGTTTTACAGGTGGAGGCCACTGACATATTTTTCCCTACTCCTCTTTTCTGACTGTTTTTCACTAGTTTTGCATTTGGCTAGGGTCAGTGTCACTACTGGTAGCATGAGGCGATACCTGGACCCTACAGAGATTGCACAGGCAGTCCAACTCCTCCAGGATGGCACATCAATACGTACCATTGCCAGAAGGTTTGCTGTCTCCCAGCACAGTCTCAAGAGCATGGAGGAGATTCCAGGAGACAGGCAGTTACTCTAGGAGAGCTGGACAGGGTCGTAGAAGGTCCTTAACCCATCAGCAGGACCGGTAACTGCTCCTTTGTGCAAGGAGGAACAGGATGAGCACTGCCAGAGCCCTACAAAATGACCTCCAGCAGGCCACCTTTGGGAATGTCTCTGACCAAACAATCTGAAACAGACTTCATGAGGGTGACCTGAGGGCCTGACGTCCTCTAGTGGGCCTTGTGCTCAATGCCCGGCACCATAGAGCTCGATTGGCATTTGCCATTGAACACCAGAATTGTCAGGTCCACCACTGGCACCTGTGCATTTCACAGATGAGATCAGGTTCACCCTGAGCACATGTGACAGACATGAAAGGGTCTGGAGAAGCCGTGGAGAATGTGATGCTGCCTGTAACATCGTTCAGCATGACTGTTCTGGTGGTGGGTCAGTGATGGTCTGGGGAGGCATATCCATGGAGGGACGCACAGATCTCTACAGGCTAGACCAGGGTTTCTAAACTCAACCAGGATTCCTCCAGAGGTTGCTAGGGATTCTTTGAGCAATCAGCAATTTTCGCCTCTCAAGTATGTTCCCACTGACACCATTGATATTTTTAGCAATCTGTAAGGGGGTAATTCTTCCAATGACCACAAGTGTCGGAGCATTCTTACCTCTGACTATCACACTAATGTATCATGAATTGTAGATATAGTCATTTTTTGCAGAGGTTCCCTGAGACCGGAAAGTTATGTCAAGGGTTCCTCTGCATTGAAAAGGTTGAGAAAGGCTGGGCTACGCAATGGCACCCTGACTGCCATTAGGTATCGGGATGAAATCCTTGGACCCATTGTCAAACCCTACACTGGTGCAGTGGGTCCTGGGTTCCTCCTGGTGCACGACAATGCCTGGCCTCATGTGGAGAGTATGCAGGCAGTTCCTGGAGGATGCAGGAATTGATACCAATGAATGGCCCCCACGCTCACCTGACCTAAACCCAATAGAACACCTCTGGGATATCATATTTCGGTCCTTCCAACGCCAGGTTGGACCTCAGATTGTCCAGGAGCTCAGTGATGCCCTAGTCCAGATCTGGGAGGAAATACCCCAGAACACCATCCGTTGTCTCATTAGGAGCGTACCCTGACGTTGTCAGGCATGCATACAAAGATGTGGGGGCCATACAAACTACTATTTTGAGTTGCTGCAATGAAATTTTAGCAAAATGGATTAGCCTGCTGCATCATTTTTTCACTTTGATTTTCAGGGGTGACTGAATTCAGTCCTCTGTAGGTTGATAATTCTCATTTACATCCAACGATGGGGCATCCTTATGTTCCTAACACATTACCCAGTCCATATCAGTATAGAGATCCAGCATGAGATCTTTCCCCATTGAGATCTGATGTGTTTTCAGCGTTCCTCTAATTTTTTTGAGCTGTGTATAATGTACTCTGTATCATTTAGAAGGACAGTCCTGACATACGAGTTTATTGTTTTGGTAAGAAAGGCTATGGAAAGAATAACTAGTGAGGAAGTTGTGTATGTAGATTCTTTTTTTTCTTCTGAATTTTCTGAACGTTGAACCTTTTTATATGTATTGCAGTGGGAAACCATGGCTATGACAACACCTTCCACAGCATGCACCCCTTCTTAGCTGCCCATGGACCAGCCTTCCATAAGAACTATAAGATGGGCACAATAAACAGTGTGGACGTGTACCCCATGATGTGCCACATTCTCGGACTGAAGCCTGAAGCGAACAATGGAACACTGTCCAACACCAAGTGCTTGTTGGCCGACCAATGGTGCATCCAGCTCCCAGAAGCCATCGGCATTGTGATGGGCGCCCTCATGGTGCTCACCACATTGACTTGTATTGTGATCATGCTCAAGAAGAAATTGCCTTCAGGGCGTGCATTCACACGGCTGACCTTGCAGGATGATGACGATCCTTTAATTGGGTGATTTAGAACAATTTAAGCAAAAAAACCCCCACTTTTGGCAATTTATATGTGGGCCACGGGAAAATGACTTACAAAGGTAACATCCATCCAGAAGTTAATTGTCACCATTTGGTGGATCTTCAGGGGTTGAATCACTGACTGGCATCAAGTGTATATCTCTTAGGGCTCCAACATTGGGGACATTTTTTAAATTGGTGCAGAAGTATCAGTGCAATGGTTTTTGACATTAGTACGTTTATTGTTGTCACCTGACTATTACACTGATCATTTTAGCACGTAATGTGGCAATTATAATAATGACTAGAAGTATCAGTAGAATTTACCATAACCATCTGCCTGTGTCTGTACACTCAGTATGAATTGGCCTTAGTCTAGCTTCACACCTATGCATTTTGCAGAAACGCACAGCAGTCCATTTAACATGATTTCCTATAGGACAGGTTCACATCTCCACGTTTTCACCCCGTGTGTTTTTTGGAAAGGGTCAGGGACTTTTTTTAAACGCAAATTGTTGCTTTTTTGGTTCTATAGACTTCAGTGGAGACGTGGCAGAAAAGCATATAGTGCGTTTTTGATGTGTTTTTGATGCGTTTTGCCTTTTATTTTGCCCAGCAACAAGTTGGAACCCCCAATGAAAAACGCAGCAAAAATGCATGTGCAAAAACGCACTGCAGGAACGCATCAGACGCAAACTGCATAGGTGTGAACCTAGCCTTAGACCTCGTTCACTTGGGGTGCACTGCAGCTTGCGAGGGCCATGTTTGCCTGCATGGGGATGCACAGGTTTTTCATGCATGCTAGTTCCGGCAGTCCCACTGATGTCAGTTGGGATGCTGCAGCCACATGGACACAACTGCTGCTTCCAATTTGACATCTGTGCAGGTGCCTGGCCCCAAATGCAGACAGGTTTTTCATGCATCCCAGTGCAAGCAGTCCCACTGATGTCAGTTGAGACACAGCAGCCACATGGACACAGCTGCTGCTCCCAATTTGACATCTGTGCAGGTGCATGGCCCCAAATGCAGACAGGTTTTTCATGCATCCCAGTGCAGGTAGTCCCACTGATGTCAGTTGGGATGCTGCAGCCACATGGACACAGCTGCTGCTCCCAATTTGACATCTGTACAGGTGTATGGCCCCAAATGTAGACCGTGTGAATTTGCGGCTGTGCACCAATCTGGATGTCAAACTGGGAGAAGCAGCTGTGTCTATGGAACCACTATGTCCCAGCTGACATCAGTGGGACTGCCTGCACTGGGACCTGTGCATCCCCATGCAGGTAAACACTGCCCTCTCATGGACATAAGCTGTAGTACACCCCGTATGAAGGATACCTTAATCACCTCCACTTATGTTCTCTACAAACTGGAGGTAATTTGTTTTGAGTTTGCTGCAATAGCGCCACTTTTAAGAACTAACCTAAATCTGTCACCTATTTTGGTAAAGCTACTAAAACTGGCAGCAGGGCTTTTTGAATCTGGTGCAGGACCTTTTAAAGGGCTATACCCCCAGAAAAGCACAAATCCTGTGCTGAATTCCTCCCCAGCATGTTAGTGACAAGACTATGGTGCTGGCATACAGTGGGGGTTATTTTGCTAAAACTGGAGAGTGCAAAATCTGGTGCAGCTCTGCATAGAAACCAAGCTTCCAGGTTTTATTGACAAAGCTTAACTGAACAAGCTAAAGTAAGAAGCTGATTGGCTGCCATGCACAGATGCATCGGATTCTGAGTGCTCCAATTTTAGCAAATCGCCCCCCATATATCTAATTATCAACACCAACAAACAGAGCAGAATACATGCCTGGATTAGCATTCGTGGGGTTGATTTACTAATGGCAAATAGATTGTGCACTTTGCAAAGTCCAGAGCTTAGTAAATGATGCCAATTCATACTCTGCTGAGTACCATCATCCAAAGTGCACAGTCTATTTTCTTTTAGTAAATTGACCCCCATGTCTTGAGTTCTCAACCCTTCTCCCACAAGGCCAATGCCAAGCACAGAGGTCTTATTCCTCCTGCTGTGTTCTCTAATTTAAAATAAAGGGAAAGTCCAGCAGCAAAAATGAGACCCCTTTGTAAGCCAGTTGCAGCGGAGGTGGATGAGGGGTAACTCTGGTATCAATCAGCTTATCAGCATTTCCAAGAGATATAAGAAGTGATTCAAGCTGCCAGCTTAGAAATGGTACAGCGGATCTGGATGGACATCACCTTTAATGGTGACAATTGATCTGTGTCCTTTAAAGGGAACCTGTATCAAGAAAGTATTGAGGCTTCCATTATTAACCTCTCCTAAAAATGCTAATTACCTGGCTGTCATGATCCCATGCCTTCAGTACCGTGTGTCACTGACTGCCGCAAGTATGCAGATCAGGAGTTCTGACATCACTCTTCCTTTGGTTGCAGCATGCTTGTTCCAGGTCAGTGACTCAGAAGACAGCCAGGCGACTGGCATTTTCAGAAGCGGGTCTTGGCAGTCTTGGTGTTTCCTTCAGGTCTTGTCGATTTGTTCTAATGAGGTTTAGTGCATGGACTTTTTTTAATGTACCTGGGTACCACTGTGACTCTGCAGATCCAGCACGCATAGGTTCCAAAACGGACATAGGAAGAGCCCCCACTGCCTTGTCTTTAGCACTGCTTCATCACCTGTGTGCACAGACAGGTGCTCTTTTTTTCTGGTGCAATAGACATGATATAGTACCAGCTGAGCTGCACTCACACATAACGTCGGCTGTCTACTATGTGTCCTATGCACTAACCCTATGGTATAAACAAGGCTTTATTAGTCTGTGGCTTAAGGGATAAATTATTGTAATGACACATTTTGGGTTATTTTACTTGTTTTCTAGAAGCAGTTTTTAATGCAACTTGCACATTGTTCTTATTTGCAGTTCCATAATTTGATAACTATTTCATATGCAGGTTTATAAATGCTTCCTCTAATAGTCTGTACATCAGGGATTGTGACTAGCAGTCCTGCTTTGTTTATGCTGAGATAAGCACACTTAGCATTTTAGAGCCCTTTGTTTTCAGTCCAGTCAGGCCTGACTCATAGACTAGCAATGAGAGAGAGGAATAGTTAAAGCAAGCCATAGATTAGGCCATAGGTTGCAGGAAAGAAAATTGATGGATTCCTCCATCAACACAGTCTTTGTGATGGGGAAATCCTTCCTGCAGAGCTATGGTGTTCTTCCAGCAGGGGGGCACGCCATGCTGGGAGAACACTGATTGTCTCTAGCTGCTATAGCCTCTGGCATAATCACTTGCTAAAAATCTGACATCTTGAATGTACTCCAAGTTGATCCATGGATCGACTTGGTTACAATCAGCTTGCCCATAGATGGATGGAATCTTAGCTGGTCCCTGCTGAACTGGCCGAGATTTGATCCATCTATGGCCAGCTTAAGGCACAGTAATTGTTCAGCACTGCAAAGAAGGAAGCAGAGCCTGTATAAGGAATGAAGAAATGTGGCTGTCCCCACTTAGAAATAGCATATTCAGAAATCCGATTTTCAATAGAAATAATACATCAAAGATGGCCTAAAGCAGTTTAAAGCTAACCTACCTCCCACAGTGTCTTTTAACTCAAGCAGTAAAAACCTGTGTGATATGTACTTACCTGCAGGGATTACCGCCTTCTTACTCCTGGCAGAAGGGTCATATTCAAGTGATTGGTATCTTAGGTTTTAAGGGGAAGGGATGTAATAAAGGTTGGCTTTAGAACAGGCTGTAGGTTCATTTTGAGAGCTAGCCATTCACAGTCAGCTTTCTGTCATGAGTTGAAAGTGAAGTGAATCATTTCTTCCATCCAAGGTGAAAAGCGTGGATGGAGGAATCTTCCCCTTGCCCAGCTATTGTGTTCAGACACAGCCATGGCACCTGCACCCAAATATCCGAACAGTGACTGCATCTGATAGGATGAAGTGACTAGTCAGCTGATGATTTTCCAGCCGGCTTAAGTGACTAGTCGGCTGTTGATTTTCCAGCCGGCTTAAGTCACTAGTCAGCTGATGATTTTCCAGCCGGCTTAATTGACTAGTCGGCTGATGATTTTCCGGCCGGCTTAATTGACTAGTCAGCTGATGATTTTCCAGCCGGCTTAATTGACTAGTCAGCTGATGATTTTCCAGCCGGCTTAATTGACTAGTCGGCTGATGATTTTCCAGCCGGCTTAATTGACTAGTCAGCTGATGATTTTCCAGCCGGCTTAAGTGACTAGTCAGCTGATGATTTTCCAGCCGGCTTAATTGACTAGTCAGCCGATGATTTTCCAGCCGGCTTAAGTGACTAGTCAGCTGATGATTTTCCAGCCGGCTTAAGTGACTAGTCAGCTGATGATTTTCCAGCCGGCTTAAGTGACTAGTCAGCTGATGATTTTCCAGCCGGCTTAAGTGACTAGTCAGCTGATGATTTTCCAGCCGGCTTAAGTGACTAGTCAGCTGATGATTTTCCAGCCGGCTTAAGTGACTAGTCAGCTGATGATTTTCCAGCCGGCTTAGGTGACTAGTCAGCTGATGATTTTCCAGCCAGCTTAGGTGACCAGTCAGCTGATGATTTTCCAGCCAGCTTAGGTGACCAGTCAGCTGATGATTTTCCAGCCAGCTTAGGTGACTAGTCAGCTGATGATTTTCCAGCCGGCTTAAGTGACTAGTCAGCTGATGATTTTCCAGCCGGCTTAAGTGACCAGTCAGCTGATGATTTTCCAACCGGCTTAAGTGACTAGTCAGCTGATGATTTTCCAGCCGGCTTAAGTGACTAGTCAGCTGATGATTTTCCAGCTGGCTTAGTCAATTGTTGGTGCCAACAGGGTCACCCAAAGCTTGAATTTTGGACGATTCAGCAGAAATCATTGAAATTGTGAACAATGAATGGCTAGCTTTACACACAATGACTATTCTCTTTAAAACCCGTTTCCAGCCATCATATAACAATTTGCACTGTGGACATTATTATTTTGACTTTTATTCTGTATACTAGATATAATCTGATTTTTAATTTCATAC